TTCCCCTCCGCGGCCGCCCGCTCCCCCGCCCGCCTGGCCTGCTGGGGCCGGCAGCGTCCGCCCACTCGGTGGGAAGCTGCTCGCTGCTTTGGGGGGGAGAGAGAGCTGCGGATGGCTCCCTCTTATTAAACGTTCGGGCGTCCTCTTTTGGCATCCCGTTCTTGCGGCGACCTGTGTTTGAATGCCGCAGGACAGTTTGGGAGGCTGCGTTTTCCCAGTGCGTTCCATCAGGAAAACGGAGTCAGCGTATATGGTTACTTTTAATACTTATGATCCTTTTCAGTTACACCTCTTGTAGACCTAGTTTTGCATGTTTTGTACTCCTGGTACATTTCATGATTTTCTTCTCTTTCTATCTTCTTTCTTAAACATAATTTTATGATTGGTTACTCTATTTCGTTTTTCTAAAGCACTCTCAGTCCTGGAACTTCTCGACAGAGTGCGTTTCCTCCTTGTTTCCCCAGGGCCTGCGGGGGTGCACGATGTCTTGCTGCACATTGAACTTCAGCACCCTCGTTCTGAGGTTTTGTGGAGACTCTTGAACTTCTGAAGTCATGCTTTCGTTGAACAAAGTGGTGTTTTAGTGCCGGATAAAGATCCTTAGGGAGGATAAAGGGAGAGAATTCTGAAATAAACAAGAGAAAGACGTCCCTATTTGGGAAACTGGAACAAGTTTTACATGCTTGTTCCTATGTGTTTTGCGTATTTGAAGGGCTCCTTCTGAGCGGTAGTGTAGGTGTGAGCTTTTTGTTTAGCTTCTCTTTAGACATTTAGGTGAAGATAACACTGATGGAGTGCTTTGCATCTTTCTGTACTTCCAACTGTCTTTAATAATCATATGATTAAAACCATTTATTCTGCTGTCACATTGCAGGTATTAAGATAACACTGTGTTGCTCTTAAGTTACACTAGTTGATGAACGCAGAGTGATGTTAGAATGATACTGTACAAGGGTTGGAAAACTAATTTCTCTAACAGCCTCAAAAATAATGTTGCATAGTACATTTCTTTGTGTTTTCTTTTTCTGTTTAATTGCTCAAGTTATGTGTACCTTCATTACTGATATATTTCTCACTTATCTCTTAGGTTTACAAAAGATACTGCCAGGTTCAAGGATGAATTAGATATTATGAAGTTCATTTGCAAGGACTTTTGGACAACTGTATTCAAAAAACAAATAGATAACCTAAGGACTAATCATCAGGTACTAATGCTGTAGAATAAGATTTGACTAGTTGTGAGTTACTAGTGCGTTTTTTGGTTCTCTTGGTCCAGAATTAATTATATGATAAACACAAAATGTTCTTTGTTTTGTTCAAAAAGCAGAATTTTAAGGTTCATGTTAGCATGTAGCTTCAGAATACAATTTAATAATTGCTTGTGATGTCTTTATTGCCACCCTGTTTGAAAAGACTAAATACTTTGAATTTCATATGTGCTGTTTCAGAGTTGGAAACTGACAGGACAGTAATGGTTATAGTTGATTAACACTTAAAAAGGAACTTTTTATGTATCTTCCAATAAACTTTAGTAGAAAACTAGTGCGAGAAATTGATATTGCTGTCTTAACATCTGTTTAACTAGAATGGCTGCCTTGAAGTATTTTTGTTATTTTGAAGACTTTTTACCATTTTCAGCAGTTGAGACCCTTGGTTGTACTCTACTGAACATACTTGTATAAGAAGCATCTGAAAAACTTGCATGTTGGTGACATTGTGTTGTATCTACGTCCTTTCCTATATAAACAGCCACAGTTCTTAAAGCAAGATCAAAATAATGTAAGGAGCCATTTTACTAGAGTAAAAAATCTTTTTCCTTTTGAATGACTTGGTTTTCTTATGGCCATTTTCCTGTTGTATCAGAGCAGGAACAGGCGAATTTGTACAAGATTGTACAGAATTTGTGTCAAATAGGTTTTATTTTTCAGTAAGCTGTTTATCAAGTAATAACAATTAATAATTACCTTATAAATTTGTTTTTGAATTCGGAGAAAGCTGCAGTATTGAGCCTACGTCTCAATTGTATATGCAGGCTTAATTGAATTTTGAGGGCTATGAAGTTCCAAAGTAGCACAGTCATTAGCAAAGAAATTAAAATGACAGGTGTAGATTAAGCTATACTGTGTTCATACTTAATTTATTAAAATGCATATTGTGGCACAAAATTGTAATGTAGAAAAAACCCTAGACTTTTAATTTGATCATCTGCTGGGTGTTGTTGCCTGTATCACTCACTGTTCAAGAAGATAATTCTCATTGAATTTGAGAATAAGAATAATGGATTGCATACCAAATGAAGATTAAGATTTGAATCTAGAAACTCAGCATGCATTTGGTGTATTAACAAAGACCTTATATGGGACTATTGTTTCTGAGCACTGGAAGGACTCTTCCAAGAAGAATGTAAATAAACTTTTTTAGGATTAACTGATCATATTATTATCTAGGGACTTTGTTGTAAACTCACAATTAAGTATCTTCTCTTTTGTTTTGATAGTTCATGTAAGTAAATAGTACAGTTTAAGCTTAAATGACATATACCTTAATCTAAAGTGTCATTTTTCAACCTGAGAACATTTATATTGTATCTACGAATCCCTTCACATAAAATGTTGATTACATGTTACTACATATTCAACTGAAAAAACTTCTTTTTTTTTTTAAACAGGGTATTTATGTCCTTCAAGACAATAAATTTCGTCTCTTGACACAAATGTCTGCGGGAAAGCAGTATTTAGAACATGCACCAAAGGTACCCTTCAGTTTTATCCTTGGGATCTACCAGATTGATTTCAATTATCTTGATCTGTTAATAACAACTTTAAGTTTTGTAACTGAATGGATACAGACTCTTCAAAAGGGCAGCTAAAGTTTAGTTTCCAAGACCTGTGCTTTTTAGAAATGCACCTTGTTTTGGAACAGTGGATTTGATTTATGGTTCAAGAAACAGTCATAGTCATTGTGAAACTTGCTGTTGTCATGTTTGAGTTGCTTGATGGTAGGAGCTGGTCTGCCATGATCTCCCACTATCACACAAATTCTTTCTTTCTCTTTTTGGAAAGCATGTGCTTTCAGAAGCTTTTTTAAAATTTCCAAAGCACATTTAGAAGGTGCTATTTGTTACCTAGAATAAGCTTCTGAGATTATATGAACATTCAGAAAGATCTTCCGCCAATTAAAAATAGTTTTGATTGTAGATACTGAGTTAGGGAAATAGTTAAGGTAAGTAAAATCGGTGCCTTTGCAGAAGCTGTTATAAAGCACTTTGGTTCAGGTGGATGTAAGAAATGGTGCATTCAGTTCCATTTTATGGTTTCTTAATTCTTGATCTCTTTAGTTATCACAGTTGCAACCTGCTGTTCTTGGGATTTTTTTTTTTTGGTGTTTGCTGAGGTGTTTCTTCTGTTTTGCAATGTGTATTCTAAATACCTGCAGGCCCTTATATTCTAAGATGCAGCCTGTGCAAGAATGCTGTCTTGGAATGTTTCTCCTTCATTGACTTCAATACCAGTTGCTAATTTCAGCCAAGTCTTGGGAATAATTTTTTTAAGGATATTAAGTTCCTACAGGTTTAATGGAAATAGAAACAAGTGACTCAAGATAGATTTCTCTTCTTAGAGGCACTGTATTGTAAGCTCCGCTGTACCAAATATTGGAGCTTTCATCTATTAGAGACGTGACAAAGTCTCTCAAGCGTAGTAATAAAATCTTCATATTGTCCAAGTGTTAAGTCTTGTTCTTGAGTACTTAGTTTCAATCCTTAGTAGCAAGCTTCATCCTTGACCCTTATTTAAAGTGCAACTTTGTATTTAGTATTTAGCTTTTACCTGTGGACTAATCAGAGGAGGCCTATCGAATTTGGGAATAAAGAGTATTGTAACAGCTGAAGTTTCATCAATGCCTGCATGTAAGTACTTCTCAGAGTTATTCAATTATTACCTCACTTGGTAACTGTCCTTACTGACTTCATCATTGTATAAGTGTTAATCAAGGTGGGATTAGTTTAATGCTGCAGGGCCATAGGAGTCAGTATGACTTCAGGATATGGCTCGTCACTAAATAGTGTTTAGAAAATACTGACAGAGGGAGAACCTCTGTGATACGGAGTGGAAAGCAAAACTAAGAAGTTGTATTTACGTTTGGAAGCATCAAATGCATAAGGATGTATGTCCAGAAGGCTATTTGAACAAGTGAAGATAAAAGCAGCTAGATACATGCTCTTTCTCTGCAGAAGTCATTAAGAAAGTTAGTAAGTGAAGTCCATTGTAAATACCTAAGCTGCTTAAATTTAAAAATTTAAATAGACTTAAAAATTTCCACAGACTTTGTACGAATTTTAAATTTAGCTGACAAGACTGTTGTGATGTGGGACATGGATCAACTTAAAGAAAAAAAGAGAAGAAAGAAAAAGCTGTTCAGCTGGAGTTGAGTTAAATTTAAATAATGGCTCGATTGTTCACAATTAAACTGTAAGATTGAAATGTTCCTTACCGTTTCTTTTAACAAAATGATTACAAGAAAATAATTACTTGGACAAAATAACTCTAATGGTAATACTTTGCTCTGACTTTGCTTCTTCTTTGCAGGTAAATTTCAGGTGATGATACAGAAGATGTAGAGCACATTCAAATCTGGGTATCTACCTTAAAAATCCTTTGTCTGTGGATTCAGTATCTTGGTTCAGCTTTGTATGTAGCTTGTAAATTATAGCAGTGTGCAGCACAATTCCAAAATCCATAATAAATGTTCATTAAAATAACACTATTCTTGCATCTTGGTATGAAATTCATTCTATACCAAGGTGTTAATGTCCACATGGTAAAAACTGTCTAGCCAAAAGTTTTCAGCAAAATATTTCAGTTACCAAAACAGCACATATGGAAGACCAGAGGCATGTTTTAAGAGCAGAGTAAAAGCCTGACCAAGACTAAATTGGAATAAGAAACTAATGTGTTTTGTGTCACCTAACATGAATACCCAACTGCTGCCTTTCCCTGTTCACTCTGAACTGTGAGGCAGCAATTGCTTTTGTATTATTCTGAGGAGGCCAGGAACCAACAGCCTTCATGAATGGTCTTCAGTGGTGGCTTACTTCATTTGTAGGAATGATACAGGGCAGTAGAAAAGAGAACTTACTTCTATATAGTTAAACAGTTTCTTCTCCCTCCCTAAAATTAGCAGCTTTTTTTTGGTGTCAGAATAATTTTACGGCTGAGGTCATCTATATTGGCCAAAGAAGAAAATTTGTTTTAGCTTGTTGTTCATAAACTCAATATTAACATAACTGTTTTTAATTGCTAGCTACAACTCACTTCTGTAATGAGTGTGTGCAGGAAGATGATTAGGCCTGCAAGAAGCTATAAAGACATCACCAAGACTCTTGAGGACATTGGGGTTTGCTAGATACTGCTTGTAACAAGATTTGCATAACAATACATATCTTGCTGTAGGTAAGCATGAAAACACCTTGTTAAAACTTTTAATGAATTTGACTGTAAGACTTTTCTGTTGGCAGGTTCAGGCCTTAGACTTTCAAATGAATCATGATAGAAACTTACGGTATTTATTCGGAAGTGAGAATGCCTTGTGATAGTGATTCAGTTTCTACTTTGAGACCAGTAAATAACAGGCTAACTAGAAAAGCTGACATGTTAAAATAGCACTTTTGATTGTTATAAATACCTCCTGTGTTGGGAGAAGTGTATATTCTCCAGTTGCATGGTGGGCAAGAACAATGGAAGCTGTTCTTCCCTAGGCTCTAGGGAAGGTGTGAAGTTTGTAATGGATCAAGCCTTTTCTACATAGCTGTTACAGGCTGGCAAGCTATAGATTAGAAATGTGATAACCAGGTTATTGTACTTGAGCTTAAGATGTGGCCAAATTCTGATCTTTTCAGGCACTGTGAATGCTAGTTCAGATTAGTTGTAGCTGAATAACTTGACAGTTGTAGGAAACATCTAGAGCAGAACTCGAACTAGCAGGATACTGTCCCACTGGTTATAGAACTAGCAAAGATGAAAGTAGTTACAGTAGTATGGTACTTGGTGGGGATCAGCTGTTCAACTGATTGAAAACACTGGGTTCTTATAGTGGTAGTTTATAGTAAGGTTGCGGTTTGTTTGAAGTTGTAGGGCTAGAGAATTAGCTAACTAGTATTTTTGCATTTCATGGGTTCTTCAGTTGCCCACTCGTCCTGCTTTCAACACGCTGAAAATGTTATTAAAGAGACTAGAAAGAACTTGCACTGTATCTCTAATAGATGGATGCTTCAGTGTCATCACATTTTAGGCATCTGCAGCGTGATAGACATTCAGTATCAACATATACAGAGTCATTGTTACTTGCATCTCCAGAATTAAAACTTCAGTAGTTACTGTAATTTACTTTGATTTTTAACATTCCAGATGCAGAAGTGTCAATCATTCAAAGACATATTAAAGGTTTATCAATAACTGGTTGTGGTTAGTTATTAATTTTAATAGCAAGGGGAGGGTCTTAAATTCTGCAATATACAGAAAGCAGATGTCACTTAATACTGTCTCAATTTGCTGCTCTCAGCAGAATTCATAGTTCCTTTAACATGGATTTTTAATTGTTGAAGATAATTAGAACCAGAGGGAGTCACGTATGTACCAAGCAGATGCTGATACTCTTGGCAAAGCACTCCATGTTAAATATATAAATACACAAGCTAATGTATTTGTCAAGATACCATACAGAAAATAAATTTGTTCATTCTGTTTAATAAATGCTTCCATTAAAAGCATTGAATACAGCTGTGTAATTTTCACTGGTTTCTGCAACTGTTTACTAAAAGATAGTACTACTGCTCAGGAAGTGGTTACATTTATATTTTACTAAAATAATTGTTTCAGTAACTTACTGGTTATAGTTGAACTGCTTAGTAGTGCTTAAGCTCAGGAACCAAAGCTTGGAAAAAAAACGCATTCAGTCCTAGTTGTGTAGATTTCTATAGTAAGGCTGCTGTTAAAATAGTATGAAGAATGAGAAAAGCCATAATGTTTAAGAACACTCTTTAAAATGCTTTTATTAAAAAAGCCCTCAATAAGTGGGTGTTAGATAAGGAACAATAATTTGTAATGTAACCTCAGACTTCACCTAATGGCAGTGTCCACAAGATTACTCAGATGGTAGAAATTTCTAACCAAGAATGTAGTTTACAGAGACGGTGGCTTGAGAGATGATGCCAGACACTTCATGGACCATTTTACAGTGATGGTGGTGATGAGGATGATATTGGAGATGTCGACTATCTCATGCTAAACCTCAGCTTAAGTTATTCATAGCTGTCCAAAATGCATTATCGTGAGGGTGTTCTGAAGGGGTTGTATAGTTCAGGTCTGAGCAGTGCAGTGTCTTGCTGTTAACTCTCATAATGCCGTTTGTACTATGGCAACACAAAATACTTGATATTCTCACAACAGTCTAGGAAGGCTCATCAGCCAAGTCACGCTGATCGAAGTACCTAGTGGAGAGAAGTGGAGTATGGTAAGAAACCTCTAATGCCCCTTACTTTGCTCTGAGTTGTCAGACCCCTTGCTTTCTAGCTATTTGAGTGTTTCTATCATAGTTACAGCTTTGCAGTTCATGGGGCTCATCTGGAGAAACCAACAAGCTCACTTTACTCTTAGGTTTATCTTAACTCCTTTTAGCTAAGTATATTTGCTATGTAGGCCCAGGGTACTTTAATTGACTTCCATGTTAAAAGAATCTAGGTTAGGACAAGAGTAATCACACATTTATTCTGGCCATACTTTACTGTTTTAGATATGTAAGTTGCATTACCTGCTAACTAAGCAGATTATCAAGTTCAGAGCTGATATTTGTTCTTCATTCTTGTTCTCCTAAAAGAGAAATAAATATTATAACAGTTCTTTTCTTAGTGTGTCAAATAGAAAAGCTGTTACATGCCATGTTACATGCCTGTACTCTTCCCCTTATTCTCAAGCAAACTTAGGACATGAAAAATTACTTACCAAGACTTCAAGAACTAAAAAGTCATCCTCCTGATAATTTGCTAAGTTCAGCAATGTTACATTAAATCTTACCTCTAGTACTCTGACTTCTGAGCACCGTCTTGCCAGCTGTCGAATAAGTGAGTGAGCTTCAGGTAGCAAAGGTTTTTCAAGGCATGCCAACAGTGCATAAAGCCATCTACCCTGTGTGGAATCATATAACGAAGTTTTAATTATGAGCATTTCCTTTAAGTTTCATGCAAGTTTGATTTGTCATCACGCTAACGCAGGTAAACTTTCTGGTCTGTGCTGCACTTTGAAAGTTTAAATATGTCTTTGCCCGCACAGTCTCATGCATCTCCTAACAAATGGAGCTGTCGGTAAATACAGTGTGCAGCACCCTGACAGCTTAAACTGGTCAGAACCAACTGCTGCTGCAGTCTGACCCTCATCTTTCCCCAGCGCCGACACTCATCTAACCTTGTGGTTTAAGTTAGTGTGGGGAGCAATAAAAAGGGGAGGGGGTTTTGGTAGTACTTGACAGTCTGTATTTGTTGTTTTGTAATTAGCCTTCCAAAAAGTTCTGTGAATACTCATTTTAGTATCTAATCAAGAAAGTTTTGGAAGTAACTGAGTGCGATACGTGCATCTAAAGAACTCTTTAGAAACTAAAATAATTTCACAGAAAACTACGAACAATTTATCCCTTGTTTAATGTGTTCATGTACAAGTAGTTAGAATAAATTAAAAATTACCAGTTCTGGAGTAAATTTTTTCTCTCCAAACCAGCTTATCAGGTATTCTAAAACACTGGTTACTGTTGCCTTTAAAAGAGGAACAGAAAGAGACAATACAACACCTGCAATGTTTTGTTTTGCTGTCCTTCTACCCAAATGATTATATTATATAAAAAGCAATGTGATTTTTTAAAAATATACACATTATGTATTTCTACTCCTTTGTGATACTATATGGTATTTATTCTAGGTTGAAGTTACATATAAGGGTAAAGTAAGTATTAAAGCACCAGTTCCTGGAAAGAACTTTATATAAATGAATAAATAAGTTATAGATAAATAGCTACAGATGAGGAAAGAGACATCACGCTGACTGGCTGGTTCTGTATAAAGGTGACTAGTGGGAAACACAGTAGTAAAGGAGAGGTAAATGATTCTTCTGGCCTTGCAGTGTACGTAAGTGCCCACAATGAAGTTGAAGGACTGCACTTAGAGCATTACATGAGAAATCTTAAAACACTGTCAAGCATGTAATGGGGCATTCAGCAAAAATTTAAACATTAGATGTTCTATAGAGAAATTACAAGGACAAAATACTCTTAAAACTAGTCATGATAGATGTTCACTAGTAAAGTTGTTTGTAGCTGAAGGTGAGATGATAATTATGTGTTTTCCTTGTAAGTGTACAATGAATAGCAGTTGTAATAAACAATTGCCTGCTCTAGCACAGAAAAATAGACAAGTCTTCTAAACCAGACAGAATATGAAAAATAATGATTTATGCAATGTCACTATGTGATTCTAAGAGGTAGGCTTACCTGATTCATTCTGCTTACAATACTTAGCAAAGGGGGAAAGCCCACCTGGAAAAAAATCAAGTTGGAAAATGCAGGCATTATCATAAACATTTTTGTTCTAATTTAGAACGTACAAACATTTTAATGTGATGCTCAAACATCTGTAGTGATTTGAAAGTCTGTTCTGAGCTTTGAAATCTATTAAAAAAAAAAAAAAGCAAGATCAAGATAAGGTCCAGTCAAATTTGC